GCATAACAAATGTTTTCTTCCTAGTCCTTTCTGGCCCTTTCTTACATCCAAAGTAAACACTCCTCATTGCTTTTAATTGTCTACTCTGTTCACGATATAGTTATGTACCCTGTGTTAGGCACAGTGCCTGGTCTGGAAGATTTTTTTAAAAAAGAAGAAAGAAAAAAGAAAAGCCACTGTCCACGAGGAAGATAACTCTGTAAACAGTTGATGGTACTGATGTGCTGAGTGCAGTGAGAGGTTCAAGCTGAAAGCTGGAAGGAAGGAAAGTTAAACCATGCCTGAATTAATCACCCAGGGCTTCATGAGAAACAGACGCAGGAGCCAAGGGCTGATGTTGAGCAGGAGTTTAAAGTTTGCCTGGTTGGAGTGGGAGTAAGGGAACCACAGGAGGATTGTAAACTGGAGAGAAACACAATCTTAAAACACAGAGCACAGGTCTAAGTACCTCCCACATAGCACTTCCTCTAAACCTCACAGCAGCCCCGTGAGGTGGCACTAGTGTCGTCCCCATTTCACAGATGAGGGATCTAAGACAAAAATGTTGTTATAAAATAGATAAACAACAAAGACCTACTGTAAAGCACAGGGAATTATATTCAATTTCTTGTAATAACATACGGAAAAGAACCTGAAAAGTATATGTATATGTAGGTATATGTAGAACTTGAATCGCTTTGCTGTACACCTGAAACTAACATTGTAAATCAACTACACTTCAATAAAAAAAAAAAAAGAAGAAGAAGAAAGAAAAAAAAAGGAAATGTTGAGTTACTTGCAAGATCACACAGCTTGTAGGTAATGGAATGATTGGAAGCCAGGGCAGTCTGGCCTGCGTCTATGCAATTAACCACTACACTCTATGGAGGAGAATTAGAATTCTAGGCAGCCATTAGGAAACTGCTGGAAGAGTCCGGGCCACAAATAATTGGGACCTAAATTAAGTTTAGAGCCAAGGTGGGAGATAATGGGACACGTGGGAGACGGGAGAACTGATAGGACTTGGTGTCCAATTATAAGTGAGGAAGTCAAGGTGAGAAGTTGAGAGTGATGCCCCGGTTTCCTGCTTGAGTGACCAGGTAGTGAGTGATGCCATTAGTCACGAGAGAAAATACAGGGTTGAGGGAGGGGGTTTGCCAGCATAATAGTGTTGTTTTAACACTGTATTCTATATTGTTCTGCTACTTCATCCTCTTAACAGATAACATTTTTGTAAATAGACACTGTTACTTCTCACAATTTTTCTTTTCCCTCTACTCTTCTCTGGCCTTCCCCTCCCCTTTTTAATACCTCCACACTTTATTTTCCTTCCCTTTTTTTTTCCCCCTTATCTTGTGAAATTAAGACTGTCAGTGACACTCTGGGTTAAGTTCTTCATCCCCATGCTAAGCTTAAATTCATAACCCTAACCCTAGAGAAACACTAAACAGGAAGACAGGGACAGTAACAAGATTTTTATCCTTTCTCTGCACTCCTTAAAGGAACTAGCAGGAGAAGCCATTGGACAACCTGGGCCCTCATTCCCAGTGTGAGGGGCCAGGAACCATGATGGTTTGGTACATTCTCTTCATAATTCCATGTGCAGTGACATAAAGTTGGTTGCTTGAAATGGGTTACAGTGAGAATTTTTACACCACAGCAATTGGCACATTTCTGCAAATCAGGGCCTTGTTGGAAGTAGGGGCAGAAACACGTTGTTAAACATTCATCAGCATGCCCCAGATCTGGGCTCTCACCAAGATGAAGATCCGCATATTAATCTCACCAGGTAGCATAGATCAGGGCCTCTCAACTTTGGCACAGTTAGGGCTGGGTAATTTGGGGGGGGGGCTGCTTGTCCTGTGCATTGTAGAATATAACAGCATCCACAGCCTCTACCCACTGGCAACCCCCCACCCCCAGCTGTGACAACCAAAAATGTCTCCAGACATTGCCAAATGCCCCAAGGGGCAAAATCACTCTGGATGAGACCCATTAGCACAAATTGGTTTGACTCTATACCTATCTCTCAAGAAGCATCCAAAATTATGAGGTTGGAAAGATCAGTGGGTCTCAGATTCAGCCAACATCATTAGGACACAGAGGGATTTGTTTGTGGATAGTAAGAGCTAACACTTATTTAACGTTTACTTTGTGCCTGGCACAATTCCAAGCACTTGATACATACCAACTCATCTAATCTGCATTAACATTCCTATGCAAAACTGTTACTCCTATTTTACAGATAAGAAAACTGAGTCACAAAGGAGTTCAATAATTTGCTCAAGCTAATGGTGACAGAACTGAGATTCATGCCTGGTCAGTCTGGTTTCTGAATCCGTGTTCTTAAGTCTACACTGCATTGCCATCAGAAGTCCAGGGACTCCATTACTATGCCCTCGCCCATCCGTCAGATTCAAAGGAGTGTTCAGGATATTGAGAGTTCAGAGGTCCCCTGCTAACACTTTCTAACTGAGGGACACAACTAGCTGAAATTCTTTTATCTGAGATGTCGAGTATGCTTTCCCCATTTGATTCTGGTCCACATGGGAAAAGTGTCTGTCATCAAGGCAAAAAATGGCACACAATTACCTCCTGCATTGCAAGTAGCCAGAGACCTTTTGATTTGATAGATAAAAAAAGGGAAGGAGGATTTTCAATTGCTTTTACTTGATGGTCCTGATTTTAAACATATGCCATTGCATGAATAAGAAATTCAATTTTCCCTGAGGTAGGATTCATGGGATGCCAAAAGCAAAGTCCTGAATTACATAGGTAATTCCTCAAGAAAATAAACAGCACTTTTTGTGTATTTTTAAATATATATGACCTAATTTTTTTAAGGAAGCCAATTCCTTAAGTAACAGTTCTCAAATTGTGGACCAGCAGCACAGCATCATCAGGGAACTTCTTAGAAATGCAAATTCTCAGGCCTAGGAATCAGAAACCCTGGGCATGAGGCCCAGCAATCAGTGGTTTAGCCAATTCCCCAGCAGGTGATTCTGATGCACTCTCAAGCCTGAGAACCACCGTCTCAAGGTGGTATTTGGTCATTTAAACATCACAAGAAAGCCTCCTAATTCCTAGTCCAAGACTATGGATTTTATAAGCTCTCAGTATTTGATGAAAGTAGATGTTATGATAGGACTTAAAAAAAAAAGGAAAAAGGCACTGTCCCCTTGCAAATATAATTTTTATGGGAAAAAAATGCATCTTCCTGATCCTTTGTAAGCAGGCAGATTTTTCTACAGTTGAGTTGACTTCTGATGCTTAGTCTATGAACAATACAAGTTGGAAAACTCTGACAAGATCGCTTATGTTTCGTTATTTACCATGTGTTGTAAACAGCTACATCCACTACTGAGGGGTGCTCCGGGGCTGCAGGGGGAAGGGCTCCAGCAGGAGTTACCCTTTCAGGTGAGGATCCCCAGCCTGTAACCTGGTGAAATGAGGGCAAGTGAACCGCCTGTCACAATGATCCTTTGGCCCCCAGAGCTGGTATCAGGGATAGAGAATGCCCCAAAATGAACAGAACAAACTCCTAACATACAGAATTCATGCTGTGACCCCTTCTCCTCTCTCCCTCCATCCTCACTCCCAGCTGCCAATCTTGCTTTCTACTTCACAGACATGGAAGCAATCAGAAAAGATTCTCCCCCACTGCCTTTACTGTAACTCACAGCCTCCCGGTGTCTGTGCCCACATACCCTGCCTCCTCTCCTGTCACTAAGTGGGGTCTCTGCTCCAGTGCGAGGCCAGTGCCTGTTACTGGGTCCTATCCCTGCTCACATCTCTCCAGCATCTATCCACACTCTCTCCGACCTTCTAATGGATCACTCACATCAGGCTGCAAACATGTTATATTTCTATCTTTCTTTAAAAAAACAAACCAAAATATATATAAAATAAGTCTTGGCCCCAGTCCTAATCCAATTTCTGCCTCATTTCTCTGCTCCCTTCTGTAGCAAATCTCAGAAGAGTCCTCCCACTCAGCCTTTAATCCACTTCACAAGGCTCCCATGCCCACCACTTAACCAACATGACATGATCTCCATGTAACTACATCCAATAGTCAGGCTTCCGTCTTAATCTTTGTTTTATCAGCTTCATTTGATACAGTTGATCCCTCCCCTCTCCTTGAAACATTCTCTTGTTGCTTCTAGAACAACACACTAACCTTGGGAATTCAAAGATAAATATAAAATCTACACCTCTAAGTTTCTTGGGAAGACTTGGACAAGACAGTCAACAGCTTCTGGACTTCCAGATTCTCACATAAATCCACTGGTAGCAATACTTTCCGGATTTTTTCATGCCATGGCACACATAAAAAAATGGTAATATTTGCCCAGTACTCTGGGACAAGGAGACAAGACTGATCCCAACAGAAGGCAACCACCTAGGCAGCTCCAAGGCCTGAGGGTCAAATGCATGCACTGAAGAGCTCCAGCTTGTGTCCTCATGCAAAGCAATCCCGTCTGTTTTCCTGCGCTGCAGTGAAAATACACTTTTTGGCCTTGGTAATAGACTTCTCTGTTGCATTAATGTGGTGTAAAGGCTTAACAATTCTTATATCCTCTTTTTCTTAGAACTGTAAAAGTTTAACTCCTTTAGTTCTAGGTCCACTGTATATCTCTTTTATATGCCCCACGGCATTTAGCACAGTGGTGAACACAGATCATATTTTTAAAAACAAGTCACATTAAAATTCTGCTCCAGGTATTATTGCTTCAGTACCATTGAGAAGTCTTTTTTTTTTTTAAATGGAGATCCTGGGGATTGAACCCAGGACCTTGTGCATGCTAAGCCCATGCTCTAGACTGAGCTACACCCTCCCTGCTAGAAGTTATTAATCATACCATTTTTGGACAGCATTCTGTTCTGTCAGTTAAAGATTAGATAGAACATACTGGAAAACAGAAACCAAAAAAGGCAAACCCAGAACCTACATTACTCACACATTTTGTCACAGGAAGTTCTTCCTGATATCTAACCCGAGGTTACCACATGTGTAAACTTACTTTCTCTGATTTATCTTTGAAAAGGAAGGAGAGCAGGAGCAGCTCATGAATACAGAACAACATGAGCTTCATGATGATGCCCTGTGTTGACTGAAACAAAATGCACAACCTGTAAGTTGAGAGTTATGTTTTATTCAGCAGACTTTCTAAGGACTCAAACCCAGGAGGCAGCCTCTCAGATCGCTCTAAGGGGCTGTTCCAGCAAGGCAAGGGAGGAGCCAGGATATAAAGTAGGAGTTTTTACAACAAAGATCAGCTAGTCAGAACATCAAAACATTACTGTTAATTAAAGAAAACCAGATATCTCAAGTTAAGGAATTTAGCACTCTTCTATGTCTGAGAAGGTGCAAAGGTCTGGGCTCACTGAAATCATTCCTTTGATATACACCTTAGCTGTCTAGGAGGGCCAGTATCCTGTTGTTCCACATTCTGAGTTCCCTCAGGGGGCACAATTGGTGGGTGGCCGCAGAGGCCAAGCTGCCTGCTTGTCTGCGCCCTGAATTCCCTCTGCTCACTGACTTAATGGCCTCAACATCCTTTGGTTACTGATATGGCCGGCAATATTTTTCATTACACCTGATAGCACTGGTTTATAGATGCTATTAAAGTTTTCCACTGTGGTTGCTATAGAAACACTGAAGAGTGGTTCAGGCATAAAGCTTTTCAAGAAAAAAGGTATTTCAGAAAAACAAAGCTCCAAAAGTCATCAAGGCCATGCCACAAGGAAAGGAATTTATCTGCTACAGTGTTACCTTTTTTGGTTTTTATGTTATTTTGCTCCATTTGTAATTTATTGACAACAAAGAAGCAAGAAGCAATCTGCCAATGTTGGGAACCAGGAGGCTTTCATCTCTCTGGGATTCTTGTTTTCTGTTCAGTAATGGAAAATAAACCAAGGGTGATCTGTCTGCTCTCTGCTGATGCTGGCACCCTAGAAATAAACACTCTCGACACTGCGGTGGAAACGGGAACTTTTAAGTTTGATTAACCAAATAAGAACTCAGAATTTTCACTGACCCCCTATAACCACAGATACAATGAGTTATCTCTCCATAAACACAATCTTTTATTCAAAAACCTTTTGATGATTCAAAAAAGTTTGTTGTGGAAGGACTATGATGCCTCAAACTCAGTTTTCACCCTTGACTCTTGTCCATGAAAATAATCAATCATCAATTATAAGAATAGAAAAAAAAGTTGTATTTGAGCCAAACTGAGGACTAGCCCAGAAGCCCACTTCCCAGATTACTCTGAGAAACTGCTCTGGAGAAGCAGGGTTTTCAGCAGCACAGTTTATATCTTATATTCAAAACAAAGAACATTAAATAAATCAGGGTTACTTTTCTTCAAGGATTCAAAAAAAATAAAAATAAAAAACAACAGACCAGCATGTACACAGCAAGCCAGTATGGCCTTGACACCTGGGAAGGGGGTCTTATCATCAAAGGAGGACCAGCATGGGCGTCCAAGGAGAGGGGAATTTAATCTTTATTTTTACCATGGACATTCTTAACTTCTGGTCAGTGTGCCCTTTTCTTTAATAATTAAAAGCAGGTGTACAACGAATTGATAGGCCACAAACAGGCTGCTTTAGTTAGCATAAAATTCAAGTTAACTGATGTATAAGCCAGAATAACTTCCCCATACCTCAAATATGTGAACATTTCTTTTATCACTATTATCCAGCTATCATAACAACAATAACAAAAATCAGTCCATCACAGAACCTATCTCAGGTCACAAATGTCTTGGTCTGTCCATTCCCAGCAGCTTAGGAAGCAGGAAAAGCCATTCTCTCAAGACTGAGGTAAGCGGAAAAATGGAAAGAATAGAGGGAAGCAAAGCTGGAAAGGAAGTATGTATTATTTTCAAACAGGAGAAATAAAAAGAGCTCCAAGGTCCTTGGAAGGCAGAGGGGGATCCAAATTGTTACTGGACATTTCAATTGGAAAATTCCAATTTCAAAAGCAGTTTGTAAGCTATGGTTCCCTTCTCTGGGAAGTTCAGAAATGATCCTCAACTTTGCTATTTAAAGTACATTTCATGGGGTAGGGGGGTATGGCTCAGTGGTAAGGTGCATGCTGGGCATGCACAAGGTCCTGGGTTTAATCCCCAGTGCCTCTGTTAAGGGAAAAAATAAAGAAATAAAGTATGGTTCATGGGTCAGCAGCATAGAGAGCTCAGGGGCTTTTGAAAAACGTGGAATTGCAAGCCTCGCCTTCTGCAATTTAACAAGATCCTCCAGGTAATTCACAAGCATCTTGAGAAGCACTGGTTCTGGGGATTCACGTCTAACGTGCCCCTGGGTGAGGGCAATCCTGCCCCTCTGTCCCCGGCACCCTGCATAGCAGGGATCTGGAGAGGGCACTGGTTTTCCACGCTGCACGATGCACGGGAGAACCACCTGCGCAGTTTCAAAACAACAGGAGCCCGGCGTCTCCCAAGTGGATTCTGAGTTGACGGGTCTGGAGTGGGGCCCAGCATTAGTATTTTTGAAAAGCTCGCAGATGATTCTAATAAAGTGGCCCATGGTGAGAGCCACTGACCTAAACCCTTCATTTGCTAATCATCAAAACCCCAAAATGACGTTAGGAGTTGTTGGTTTCCTACGTTATCTCATTTGGGAATCCTCAAAACAACTCTGTAAGGTAGATGGAGACGGTACTGTTAGGCCTGCTTAGCAGAAGAGGAAATGAGCTGAGAGCTGCTCTCCCTACACTAACTTAGAGAGCAGATACATAACTGCCATTTCCCTGGCTGAGAATAGAGGAAAGTTGAGTTCTAAAACTAATGCGATATTCAGTGTTTTCCATGGTGAGTCTATAGGAAAAGCCTGAACTCATTTTAAAGGATAAATCACCAATTCCAATCTCTTAATTTTGCATGTGAGGAAACAAGGGCCCAGAGATTTGTCTCAAACCACAAGATTTTAGCCGAAATGAGAACTCAGGTCTCCAGACACCTAGTTTAGTACGTTTCCCACTAAACTGCATTTCCCAAGTGCGACCCATCTCATGGGATTCCACAAGATACCAACAGATCCTCAGCTTATTTGACTATGGAACCATGTTTTTCACTCAAGAATCTTGCAGTAATCCTATTGCAATGAGCAGACTTGGAGGAGGACTGTTGGCCTTGGCTCTCTTCAAGGCTGTTCTACTTGAGTGGTCGGGAACAATCTGCTATGGCCCCAGAGGTAGGGGACCAACTCTAACAACTAAAGGGAGAGGAATCATTAGCACCATGAAGCATCTAAAACAGCCAGCTCAAGGTCACCAAAGTATGGCCTCATCCTTTTATTCCACCTTGTCCCTGAACAGACCATGCCTCAGACACATGCCCACAACAGGAGGCATTTTGATGTACTTCTTGCTGGATTGCTACTTTGTAATGAACATTCCTCTGTGTCAGGCACTATGCAAAACGTTTCACCCGCATTATCTCACTTAATCCTTAAAACAATCCTATGAGGTAAGGACTCTTAGTATCCCTACTTTAACGTTAAAAAATCTGAGAGTTAAAGAGGTTAAGTAACATATCCAAAGTCATACAGAAAGTAATGGAACCAGGTTTTGAGACTGAAGCTGCCCAAAGCCAGATTCAATTGTATGATTATGAGATGACTTGCCACTATAAATGATCTTCTTTTCCATTTATCAAAGTATTTATTCCATGTATCAGAGAGAGAGAGAGAGAAAAAAAGACTTTTTGTGGAATTTTTAAGGACTATGGGGGCTAACAAGTCTGAAATGCGCAGTACAGGCTGCAAATTCCAGCAGGAGTCAATGTTGTAGTTTGAATCTGAAGGCAGTCTGGAGGCAGAATTCCTTCTCCTGGGGACCTCAGTCTTTTCCCTTAAGGCTTTCAACTGATTGGATGAGTCCCACACGCGTTATGGAGGATAATCTGCTTAATAAAAGCTACTGATTCAAATGTTGATCACATCTACAAAACACCTTCACAGCAACACCTACCCTCAGGGGTTGGACCAAACAACTGGGTACCGCAGCCTAGCCAAGCTGACACATCAAAGTAACCATTAAACTATAAAATACACAAAATCAGAAAAATGTAGATATCTTAGACTGCACAGTCCAATTTCCTTATTTTTGCAAATGAGAAAACAGATCAAGGAAGGAAAACCCCCCAGTGATATGTGTACATGCATTCACAGGAGAACATGTACACCCACACTCCCCAAAACCTTCATAAACTGCTATCTTCTAATAAAATTACGTGGAGAAGTTAAATCCCTGCACAACATCATTTATTTCTATTTCAAAGACTTGAGAAAAATTCAGCCAGCAGGCAGTTCATTTTATTACTTCTCTCCAGACCAATGCCCCCACACCCTGGAAGGCACCACCTTCAGAGCATATGGGGAGTCAGGAAATAGCGGACACATTTCTCCCCAAAAGTGGGCTTACTCTCAGATCCTCTCCCACCCCTTCTACCCACCCGCTGAACCTCTCCAGTCTCACTTCTTACTTCTCAGGTTTCCCTCGACGTGATGCCTTCTTTTGCCTCTGGGCTCACAAACAAGCTCTTCCCCTCTGGGGCTGAAACGCTCTTTCCCCAACCCATCCCCATACACACCTCTTGCCTGGCTAAAGCCCAGTCATGCTTAGGTCTCAGCTGAAACATCTTTTCAGGATGTGCCTCCCCCACCCCCACTAGGCTGGGTTAGATGTCCTTCACCTGTGCCCCTATGGTGTGCAGTACCATACCCCTGAGATGGTATCCCCAGTGTTAGAGTCTGTCACATAAAAGACATTCAGTATTTACTGGGGAATGGAAGAAAAGGAGGAATGAATGAGAAAGAAAGGAATTTCTGTAGGTTCTTTCTTGAACTGCATGACTTAGATCTGACAAGTAGGAACAGTCTGATGAAATTCACCCAGAGAATTGTAGGGTGGAGAGCAAATTTGATCTTTTCAGGTGCTAGGGGCTCTCTGTCTAGTGACCTGGCATCCTGGGGATTTGCTTTGCTGTCACCTGGATGTTGATATCACCAGGGAGTTATTGGTGTACTGTAACAGGAGGCTGGATCAGGGTGGTAGCAGCAGGAATGGAAAGGGACCCATAAGAGGGATATTTCATGGGTAAATGGGACTGCATTGGTTGGACTGTGAAGGAGAAGGGTGCAAGATCAGGAAGTTGGGAGAATCTGATCTTTGGTACAAGACAATATCAATTCAATTCCATTGTGAACTTGAGGTATTAGGAAAGGATCTAAAAATACAGTTGAAGACACAAAGGAACTTATTTACAAAACAGAGACACTAATGAACTCATCTACAAAGGAAAGAGACTCGCAGACATAGTAAACAATCTTATGGGGAAAGAGGATGGGAAAGGATAAATTTCAGAGTCTGAGATTTGCAAATGTTAACTACTATATATAAAAATAGATTAAAAAAACAAATTTCTTCTGTATAGCACAGGGCCCTATATTCAGTATCTTGTAATAACCTTTAATAAAAGAGTATGAAAATGATATGTGTATACATACATATATAGATGCATGACTGGGACATTGTGCTGCACACCAGAAATTGACACATTGTAACTGACTATACTTCAATTAAAAAAAAACCAGACAAAAAATTTCAGAAACAGAGACAGACTCACAGACACAGAAGACAAACTTATGGTTAACAAGGGGTAAAGGGTGTGGGGGAGAGATAAGTTGGGAGTTGGGGATTTGCAGACACTAACAACTATATATAAAGTAGATAAACAACAAGATCCTACTATAGAGCACAGGGAACTATATTCAATACCTTGTAATGGCCAATAATGAAAAAGAATATAAAAAGGAATATATATATATATATATACAACTGAATCACTACACTGCACACCAGAAATTAATACATTATAAATAGACTATACTTCAATAAAAATAAAAAATAAAAAATATACAGTTGAAAATACAAAACAGTGCTCACTTTGGCAGCTAAAATTGGAAGGATACAGAGAAGATTAGCATTGCCCCTGGGCAAGGATGACATGCAAATTTGTGAAGAGTTTCATATTTAAAAAGAAAAAAATTAAAAAGAAAATACAAAACAAAGCCAAGAAAATTTATAGCCTTTCACAAATTTGTCACCTTCTATCAATTACTGTTAACAAGGAAGTGTCAAGACTGGCCAGTAGGCAGAGCAGGCACTGCCCATGTGATGTGCTCTGAAGGTCACCAAAGACTTTTCTCCCTTCACCATCCTGTAAGGTGCCTGAAATGTAATTAAAATGGTATTTTTCATATGTCATCAGATATATACTGTATGCACATACATCTCTGGAAGGAAAGAAGAGAAATGGTAACAGTGGCTACTTCTGGAAAACAGGGATTGGGAGATTGGAGGTCAGAGGTGGGAGGGAAACCTATCTTTACCATCTACACTTTTGTACCCAACGAAGCTTTTTTATCATATACATAGATCTTCAATCTAGAAAAGGAAAAATTTCCTTCTATTTTTAAAAAGTTGGGATTTGTCAATGGGGGATTGGTTAAATAAATTATAGTATATCCATTAAGTGGGATAATGTAAAGTCATTAAAATGAAAAAAGATAGCTTTGATCCAAAAGATGTATCCAAAAGATGTCCATGATGATTTGCTACGTACAAAAAAACAAAATTCCGAGTATAAACATTTAAAATCCACCCATTCCCAGTACCGCCATTAAAAAAATAAATAAACCAAATTACTGCCCCCCCAAAACAAAACAATCCACCCATTAAAAACAACTGTGTTTAAATATTTGTTAGCATGTATATGCATAGGGAAAAGCTGTGAAAATACAGTTAGAGCGCTGATTACCTCTGCAAGGTGGAATTACAAGAAGTTTTTGCTTTCTAAGTTCTACATTTTGACATTGCCTGAACTTTTACAAGGGGCATATTACTTCATAATCAGAAAAAAATTTAATTTAAAACACTTCCATGATATTGCAAATAGCCCAGAAATGGAGGAAGGGTCATTCATCATCTTCAGCAGCTGGGGCAAAATTTGAACCCTCCAGATGGAAACTAGGTACGCGTGGGGAGTTTGTGCATTAAGTCAGGGAGAAGCGGTGTAATACAGTCTTGGCTCACAACACTGCCTCGATAATGTTTAATAATTGAATTTAGTTATATTTATAGTAATAATGAGGCTAAAAGTAGATAGAACTTGTCTTTTTCCCTAGTGCATGACAGAATTGGTACTTATTATCAGAAGCTTAAAAAACAGAGGATCTGCCCTCAAGACCATTGCAGCAGAAAGTAACTTAACGTCACCTGCTTTCTCTTCTTTACTGCTCTGCAACATGCCAATTCTTTTTTTCCCTTTTTGTTAGCCCTCCTCAGCCTCCCAGCACTTTTTTAAAAAATGCCCATTGGAACCACAAGAGGGCAGCAGCCTCATGTACAAGAAAGGCTCCTGGGTACTGTTAATCCCCCAAAGCAAAAGGATGATGTCTTAAGTGTTATCAAAACTTGAGAGATTTCAGCATCTTCCTCTGAATAGATGTGGGACCACATTTAACGTCCTGTTGGAAATTATAAACAGTGAGTGGAAAAGAAATTCATGCTGGTGGGTGAAGCTAATGTATTTCCCTCTCTTCCAGACACTGGCCAGGAGAGGTGAGATAGAAAAAAGAACAGTCTGGAACCTAAGACTTTGTCCTAATGTAAACTCCTGCACCAGGATGGAAGGGGACTCTTATCACAATGCGACTACAGTCAATGGCACCCCAGTGAGTCACCAGCCTTTAGAACGCCATGGGCTGTGGGAAGTCATCACCATTGCCGCCGTGACAGCTGTGGTGAGCCTGATCACCATTGTGGGCAACGTCTTAGTCATGATTTCCTTCAAAGTCAACAGTCAGCTGAAGACAGTTAACAACTACTACCTACTCAGCTTAGCCTGTGCGGATCTCATCATTGGGATCTTCTCCATGAACCTCTACACCACCTACATCCTCATGGGCCGCTGGGCTCTCGGGAGCCTGGCCTGTGACCTTTGGCTTGCGCTGGACTATGTGGCCAGCAATGCTTCCGTCATGAACCTTCTGGTGATCAGTTTTGACCGTTACTTTTCTATCACAAGACCCCTGACCTATCGGGCTAAGCGCACCCCCAAGAGGGCTGGCATCATGATTGGCTTGGCATGGCTGATCTCCTTCATCCTCTGGGCCCCGGCGATCCTATGCTGGCAGTACTTGGTTGGGGAGCGAACGGTACCACCAGATGAGTGCCAGATCCAGTTCCTCTCGGAGCCCACCATCACTTTTGGCACTGCCATTGCTGCCTTCTACATCCCTGTTTCTGTCATGACGATCCTCTACTGCCGAATCTACCGGGAAACAGAGAAGCGAACCAAAGACCTGGCTGACCTCCAGGGCTCTGACTCTGTGGCTGAAGCTGAGAAGAGGAAGCCCGCTCACAAGGCTCTGCTCAGGTCCTGCTTCAGCTGCCCTCGGCCCGCACTGGCCCAGAGGGAAAGGAACCAAGCGTCCTGGTCATCCTCCCGCAGGAGCACCTCCACCACTGGGAAGCCATCCCAGGCCACTGGCCCGAGCACGGAGTGGGCCAGAGCCGAGCAGCTAACCACCTGCAGCAGCTACCCCTCCTCAGAAGATGAGGACAAGCCTGCCATTGACCCTGTCTTTCAAGTGGTCTACAAGAGCCAGGCCAAGGAAAGCCCAAGGGAAGAATTCAGTGCTGAGGAGACCAAGGAAACGTTAGTGAACGCTCACACTGAGAAAAATGACTCTGACACCCCAAAATATTTCCTGTCTCCAGCTGCTGCTCAGCGACCCAAGAGTCAGAAATGCGTGGCCTATAAGTTCCGATTGGTGGTAAAAGCTGATGGAACCCAGGACACCAGCAACGGCTGTCGCAAGGTGAAAATCATGCCCTGCTCCTTCCCGGTGTCCAAGGACCCTTCGACAAAAGGCCTCGATCCCAACCTCAGCCATCAGATGACCAAACGAAAGAGGATGGTCCTCGTCAAAGAGAGGAAAGCGGCCCAGACCCTGAGCGCCATTCTCCTGGCATTCATCATCACGTGGACCCCTTACAACATCATGGTCCTGGTTTCCACCTTCTGTGACAAGTGTGTGCCAGTCACCCTGTGGCACTTGGGCTACTGGTTGTGCTACGTCAACAGCACTGTCAACCCCATCTGCTATGCCCTCTGCAACAGAACCTTCAGGAAGACCTTTAAGATGCTGCTTCTCTGCCGATGGAAAAAGAAAAAAGTGGAAGAGAAGTTGTATTGGCAGGGAAACAGCAAGCTCCCATGAAAAGTAACAACTCTCAAAAGAATGACCGTGGTCCAAGTCCTCTGAGGAGGAGCAAGATGATTCTGGTTTACTTTCCGAAAAGACGTCTGTCATTTTGAGTCCCTAAGGACTCTGTAAAGGCTTGAGGTCTCTCACCGAAAGGAAGGAATCGCAGAGACCTCAGTTGCTGCCATATTGAACGATTCTTGTCTATAACCAAGGTCGCCTGATGCCACTGGAGTCTGCCACTGAAGTGAAGAGGCAGACTCACGGCCTTCACAGGAGGAGGCACTGGGCACAATGAACAATGACCAAGGGAGCGTCTGTCTAACCTGCTGTGGGCAACAGTGGGGACTGGGTGGAAACCTGTCACAGAGTTTTGTGCAGTATGTACGTGTCTATGAAGTTGTCTCATTCCAGTGAGAACTGGGAGAATGTAAGTCAGTGTCACCCAAGTGACATTCAATGGCTTCTAGGAACTGTTTCTTTATAAACTAACCAGTATTTATTATACAGGTATTATGTGTTCCGTACTGTAGTATGTTTACATCTGAACGAAGCTCTTGCTCTTTCCTTTCACAACTGGTACCAATTCCTGGTCCACACAGAATCACCCTTCCTCTCAGAATTCTGGGTCTGGAAGGTCACTGAGAACTGAACATAGTCCTTCTAAGGGGCTTCTATTCTGCTAATAAAGGTGATCAAGTCTCCACAGTCAGTTATTTTGCTTTGACCAGTGGGAATTTTCTCCTTTTATCTAAACAAATACTGTGTATTCTGGTTTGTGCCTATTTGAACCCATTTACTTATGCTCTGTTCTTAGGAAGATTCGTTTTGTGACAGCCCTTCACTGGTGAAGATCTTTGCCAGTCTGTTTAATAACAGTTCTAAACTGCCAGAGGTTTTACTTTCTAATCTCTTCACAAGGCAAACCTGAGGCAAAACGTGCAAAACAAATTTGACTTCACTCCATGCTTTGGAACTTCTTCCCCATCCAGACCCCCAGTTCACGCCCAGGCACAAGCTGGTCACCGTGCTGCCTCTAGCCAGAGTGCTATTTAGAGGGACAGCGGGGGGAAAGGCTTTTTTTTTTTAATAAGTCTTTCAAATCATGGCTCAGAAATGACTTACTTATTCTTTCCTCTCTAAATTCACAAAGATAAGAAGTCCAGAAAAATACAGTTAAGGTCCAGTGAAGCTGACTATTGCCATGAAAAATGACCGTGTTTTCTTTAAAAGCAAAACGGAGGGCACTGTATAAAAATAAAAGTTATCAACATAACGTTTAGTCTCAGAATTATCCAAAAACCAAATTTTAGTTAAATTTCTGTGTATATAAACAAACTGAATCTAAGAGGTTTCTATGATAATGCTGAAAATAAACCAATGCACAAGAAAATGAGAGGGGAGGGTGTAGCTCAGCGGTAGAGTGCATGGTTAGCATGCACGAGGTTCTGGGTTCAATCCCTAGCACCTCTATCAAATACATAAACCTAATTACCTCCTCCCTTCAAAACAAACCAAAAAAAAGGAAACAGAAACTACACAACAGTGCATAAAACTAATGAAAGATCCCCAAAGCAAGCAGGAGAGTACACAGCAAGGATTCTAAAGATGAAGCACCCTGTCAGACAGCAGCTCATTATTTAACCTGTTGATTATATCTACAGTTACATTTAAAAATCTCCAGACTTCTATTCACTTAATGTGGGCCAGTTCTTTTTCAGCCTCATTTGCTGAGAGGATGTAAAAATAGCTGGTTTAGTCATGCTGGGAATTCGGTATATACTTGAGTATAGGAGGCCAACAGACCACCACTGACGAGTGCCTTGGCCTCTTCTATGGAGCCCCAAGGAAGCTTTGGGAAGTGGAAACCCCGGCATCTCCAGCCCTGTTGGGATTTGACGTTGAGATGAAACATCTTAGAAGCAATGTAGCTGCTGAAGCTTTGTGAAGGGCAGGTTGACACCTGCCAAGAACTTGGTAGAGAATTAACTAGCTCAATTCTCCAAGACAGAGGCTTCCCAGTGGACATGATGCCAACAGGGTGTGACTTCATAAGCAAACCTGCTCCACCTGCTCCAGATAAACAGTTGGTTCTTTTAGTTTAAGCCTTTGACTCCCAACAAAAATGAGAATCCCTCCAAGAGAACAGCACCTTGAGCTCATTCACATCACAGGAGAGAGAGATACAAGCTAATTCAAACAAAAGAACACAGAACAGAGGGGCAGGGACGGCTGGGGCCACACTTTTCTCACTCCACAACTGCCTAAAACTTAGCCTTTTTTGTCTGTCTGTTGTGAAATTGAGAGGCCTATGCCTCCTTCTTTATCATTGGCTTTGGGACACAGCCGGTTACGAAGTCTACCTATGCCCCTTGACACAGACAAAAAGAATGCCCCAAACTCCTGAGGGAAACCAGCCTTCTTTAGAATAAGGCCTCTGGTGGGGTCCTCAGAATGAACAGATCCAACTGTAAACTACAGGGACCTGAGGAGTGGAGGGGTGGGTGTGGGCTGACTCCGGATTTTAGGCCTTCTATGTCCCATCTCCAAACTTCTGTCTATAGTAAACTCTGTACAGCTTTGATTAGTTACCTACTGGATGCTGCTATGTTGCTAACATTGTGGTTTGTTTCTCCTTGGCTGTGAATTTGATGGCTTGTCGAGGAATCTGTTTTCAGAACAATTTTTGGTTACAGCACTTTATCAATATTCCTGGCCTCTGCTCTGCTCCTTTGGTGAGTGTCCTCTGAGGCTGATGCTGATGTCAGCTTTGTCATTGTGAAATCTGTACCTAATCTCTGGACTGGACAGTCCAGCTGTCTACTGTAAATACTGGAATTACAGCAAAGGATGTGGGGATGGGGCCGCTTTTCTGTATGGTACTAGCATTATTCCGGATATTAAAGAAATTTAACCACACAGTGGTCTAAGGCGAAGTGTTTAAATAAGAAAATGGTCTCAAGTGAGCCTGACAGATCCATCTGTGTTAGGGATTCCACACGCACTGGCACAGCCTGGCCTTTTAAGAAGGAGGAGGTTCATACACAATGTGGATACACGTCCCTCTTGCCAACTTGGTGATTGCCCCCTTTCCTCTCAGTTACCAGTGACTAAATTAACATGAAATAATGACAAGATTCCAGTCACTGAAATGCTTCCATTTCCCTCCAGGACAAGGGACGTAGGGCAGACTGCAGACCGCAAATCACAGCCCTTTAGCCAGTACAGACCTTGCATCGAAACACAACAGCAGCGTTTCTTCTTCAATTGCTAGAAGAGTTGGTGCCCCAGGCATTTAATTCTCATCTCCCCCACTCATTCCACCAGTAAAGTTAGAGATTATATAAATTCTTGCCAACAAGAACCCCAGTTTGAGAGTGTGAGGGGAAGGGAAATGCATTTTTTAAGAATCCAGGAAGGAACCAAAAGAAAAAAATTTTAAAAACATACTTTTTTGGGGGAACTATTTTTAAACTTAGAGAAAAGCTGCAAGAATCATACAAAGAACTCCAATACTATTTACCCACACTCCCCAGTTGTTAACAGTTTGCCACATTTGTACTGTGTGTGTGCATGTGTGTGTGTAGACACACACATCTTTTTTTCTCAACCATCTGAAGTTGCAGACTTCACGTCCATTTGCCCTCTAAATATTTCAATGGATATTTCTTAAGAACAAGGAAATTATCTTATATAACTTACAGTACAAATAAAAAATCAGGAAATTCAACATTGCTGTAATATTACTATATGAGACATAATTATGTAATACAGTCCATAATCAACTTTTACCAGTTGTCCAAACAACATTCATTGTAAGAATTTCTTTTCCCGTTAAGATCTAATCCACGATCACAGATTGCTTTAGTTGTCATAGCTCATTGACTCTCTTAATCTGGGAGAGGTCTTCAGCTTTCCTTTGGCTTTTATGATATGGTCATTCTTTAGAATACATTCAATCCAATTTTTAAAAACTAATTTCCATAAATTTGTGGTTGTCTGATGTTTCCCACTAGATTCAGCTTAACTTGTTTGCTTTGACTTGGGCAGGAATACGGCAAATGGGATATTGCATCCTTGGTGCATTACATCAGGAAGACAAGATGCTTCATCCCAGTAGTGGTGATCTTAACACTCATCACTCGGTTCAGGTTTCTCCACTGTAAATGTACTACTTTCCCTCTGCAATTAATAATTTTGGGAAAGAGACTTTGAGCCTCTGTACACTTCTGGTGGGTCATCAGGTTTTCACTCAGTAACTGCAGCATCTCTTTATCATTCTCACCCAAATAAGTTATTACCGTGACGCCAAGTGGTTGGCATTCTACTGTAAGGAAGACTTGTTCCTTCATTATTATTATTTATTTACTTATTGTCATTATAGACTCACGAACTCTTAATTTAGTAATTGGTTAAAATCCATTACTGTCATTATTTCAATGTTAAAATTGTCACAAATTTAAGGAGTGAGAGCCCCTTCAAGATGACTCCTGTGATCCTTTGACATATCCCGAACATTGCTGGAGCACTCCCTTACTTTCTGGTACGAGAAGACATTCCAGATTCATCTTCACTCTCCCTAACCCCGTCCAAGAATCGGCCACTTCTTCAAGGAGCTCTGGTTTCATTAAGTATAGATGCTACCTGACTCAGTTCTGGAATCAAGATATAATCATTGCTATTAGGCCCTTTCAGTGGATGGAACTAAGAAGTATGTATTCGTGTATACTTACTAAAACAGTAAGTTCATACTGACATCTGCAATCCAAATCCAACACTACAGAATTCTTCCCATTCCATATGTGTATGGCCCTTGTCCAACAGTGAGAGTCATCATTTGCTCAACTTGCTTAATTCTTTGATAGTTTCAGAATTGCAAATACACATCACTGTGAAAAACCAACGTCTCAGTAAAGTTCCAACATTTGTTTGTGTTTTTTTTTAATCTTAAGGTTGAAGAGATATAGCCAAGTTACTAGGTTCAATAATTGCTTCTGTTTATTAACAGAAGTAGAAGAAGTTGAACAATTCTGAAGACCTTATGTAAAGACAGGCAAAAGACTGACACAAATAGTCATATTAAAATAAAAAAGAGCACATACAGCAGGGTAAACTACCCTTCCAATGAACTGCACTGTCCCCCATCTCTCTGGATGAGTTAATGTGTGTGTGTGTGTGTGTGTGTGTGTGTGTGTGTGAGTGTGTGTGAGTGTGTAGGGGCAGGGGGTGTGGTTATGCTACCACATTAAATTACCTGCAATCAGGCAAAGAAAGCCAAGGTCTAATTACAGCCAATGGTCTGCTTGCAGGGCTTCACCATTATTCAGACTTGTCTAATCTTAAAAAGATTAGAAATCTTAAAAGTCCTAATCTTACGTTATATGGCCCTAGAACAAGTCTCATTACCACCAGATGCCCCCAAGGATGCCCTTAGGCTCCTGCTAAGAGCAGTTCTCCAAAGAGTTTAATTCCTAGCCTTTAGCAATGATTTGCTGGAGA